TAAAATACAAATATGATTAAAATTGGGGATATTAGACAATTACAGCAGTCGCATCTTGAAAACAAAGTTTGCACAAGCTCATTCTTGGACTTATTCAAGTCTTTCCATTGACGCTTTTGCAACAGAGTTTAAAAATCGTTCACCCTGTTCAGGGTAAACATGCCAAACGCGCTGCAGCGCCATGGCCGACGTAATATGGCTCGAAATGCGTTGTTGTGTACTGTACTCGTAACGTGTTTAACGATCGCTTGGTGTTATTGAACCACAGCTGACTAATTTAAAATGTTATATACTTTGATTAATGTTGATTGTCACCTTGTTTGTGTTATTTGTGAGCGTGTTGATGTGTCTTTCCTCGTAAAGGGGCTTGATCACAAGTGACTCTGTAGGAGCATCGCAATCACATTGAGTTAGAGCCTTTCTGAATCCCTTTTCACTTGCACATCTACCAATTTGAGTAGACAATAATACTTGTCTGTATTTTGGTCTACATCTTTTAGTTACACGAAACTGTACAAAGTATATCATCAAAGAAAACAAATAATGTACGAATGCAGAGCAAGAACTGTAATCGAAATGCTTACCCACATTAATTCACTTACGAAGATATACCGGCTGATATTTTTACACGATTTAATGGCGTGACATGGATATGGGTAGCGGAGGAAACATCAAGTATTGTGTTACGGGCTCACTGGTCTTTATCGATGCGAAATTTCATTATATTCGTACCCCATTCCGCGTACGATTCAATAGGAACACCTTCGCACAATTGGGCCTCCCTCAATGGGTTGTCGGATGAAATTTCTTAACGCTTCTATAACGAGGCTTCGTGCCACGCTACCAACGCTGTAATTGTATTGCCTAATGAGATCCAAGGATATTAACACGGATTAAATCTGCTTAATGAACCAGAATATTAAATTGTTCTTTCACACTTGCGTGCCAGAATGATGTTCGCATTGCGTTACTATTCCTTTGAAGATACTATGCGAATCTCAAATTTAATGATCGCTAATGAGGCAACTTTGAAATTTGAATAGAAATATTTTTAAAGTTTCCTTAAAAAACAAAAATATAACTAAAAAATTGCCAGCAATCGAAAGCTAGTCAAATGATTTTGCTTTTACGATCTTGTTAAATATAATAAAGATCAAGAAGTAGATAAAAAACAAGATTTCTTTAAACAGTTCAAGCTTTGAACGTAAATTACGTATAATGCTCGTTAACGAAAGTCTAATAATTTACAAGAGAGAAAAATAACCTCTATCAGAATATATGGTGGTAGAGTGAATCACTGGTAATGAAGACATTACGAACCGGTTTTGAGAGAGAGGCCTCGAGATCGTAAGTACTACAAAAAGACGTAACCGAGACCAAAATTGGACGCAAACGCTATATCTGTTACTTTATAGTCAAAAATTTTAACTCCTATTTGACAAAAGGAGCTGTATCATTAAAACATATTTATGAAACTTGGTTTGATTCCTTGAGATTGCATTCAGCGAAATTATGATGGGAAAATAAATGATAAATTCTATGAATTCCTTTACATTATAGCGAAAACTATTTCACTAACTGCCAAGAAATAAAATATATTTTACAGTTCTTTGTTTTTATTTTTGAACAAAAAATTGGTAAAAATATAGTTACATTATGAGAAAACGAAACTGAAATATAGATAATGGAGTTGACCCCGAACAACGGTAAATATCAAAATTTTATGACGAATGATTCCGAACTCATTTTTCATTCCTCAAAGTGAATATCAGAGGCCGCTTGATCCCCAAGGATACAAACAAAATAAGCACAGAGTTAATGTTCATACCCTTTAAGTGTTATTTCAAAAAGGGGGTGGTTCAAAATACGTATTTATATTTGAAAAAGATATTGAACAAAAATCTTGCTCTAAACATCATTAATCATTTGGTATAAAATTTTAATCCGTCGTGATACGACCCCAAGACCCGAACACTTGGTGACGTGTGATTTTGAAATTACACTGTTCTTTTTGAATAACATACAATTAAAGTGTCAAGGATAGTGTGATGTTAACCTTACTATTAACATTGATAATGAAGGATCTATAGATGTAATAATAGCATGCCGAATAGTTATTAAGCTTATTAAACTTACACCTGTCGTGTATTTGCCATTGTCAATGATTAAAAATTCATTTCATGCTTTGTGGTTTATTAAATTAGCTTTCGTTCTATGGGAATTATTCAATTAATGTGATTAGTAGTCTTAATGAGATGTTCATTTTAGTTATTTTTGTAATAATGTTAGGGTTTAATTTCAGTTATACTTTAAGAGTTGTTACACACGGCGGGTTTTAGCAGCGATACAAACGCGCGATTGCATCGCTACACTTGCGATTTATAGGCGACTGCATCGATGCAAACGCGCGACTGCATCGTGTTTGCATCTCTGCTTAAAATCGCGTGTGTAAATGTAAACGGTCAGCGACTGCATAGCTACTGTGGTTGTAATTGAAATCTCTACAAATTTATTTGTTTTTATATTCAAAATAGTATTAACGACATTTGAAGTTCTTTTTTTGAAAACTGAACAAATAGATATTTGTACATTAGAATTACTTGTCTATTGCTGTTCAATTTTCTAACGACCTTAATATAATTCGCTTAAAACCTCTTTTAACTCAAAATGGTATTAACGACGTTTTTCATTCTCTTTTTGAAAATTGAACTACTAAATAGTTATAGATATTGTGAATAACTCGTCTACAGTTGTTCAGTTTTCTAACGGCCTTAATGAATTCCCCTAAACATTTTTTTAATTCAAAGTGGTATTGACGACGTTTTTAGTTCCCTTTTTTAGCGTTATCTATTTAATTCATCTAGAGTCTTTCATGTGTGGATCCCTGGCCGCGTTTAGGGTGATATCGGTCACATGCCGACCCAAAAGATCCGAGTTAAATTTAGCAGAAGACATTTATTTATTCACTGATACCCACGATAATCATCAGTCTCACTGAATAAGGCTTTGATAAAGTTTTGATGGATAACCTCAAAAGGGTAATGAGAAGTGAAAATTGTAGTGCCGATTTTAATAATAGTTCATGACATGTTTATATTATGTGTGTCATCATAATTAGTCCACGTTGTATCGTTTTGTTTTTTTTTTATATGAAAGGCATTTGTATTTGCATGGCCGAACGTATACTTGTTTTATACTAAAATGTTCGTTGGGTTTTTGTGATTACACATAGGAAATGAATTTATTTTTCGGATCTCAATCGTGTATTTATTTTTTAAACAAACCCACGTTTCGGCCCCTTTACAGGTCTTATGGTGACGGTTCACGGCTCACGGGTCACAAAGACCTAACATAAACAAAATTTCCTTCGATACGGCTGGACTTGAACCAGCGACGTCGCCATAGCGTGGCTGACGCTCTCCCAACTAAGCTACGGAACGAACTTATTTATACCTTATGAACCTTTCTGCGTGCCTGCACATGTTTGTCTTTGGTTTTAACGACTTTTTGCCGTAGCACCATCTGTGAGAAATCTTTGAAAGTTTTTCTTCGCTCAGCCAGGTATCTTAAGAACTATCAGCGGCTGACTAGAGATGTCGCTTTAATTGTAATATTAAGTTTATTGAATATCACTAGTTTTATAGAGTTTACTACCATAATATTCAATTATTTTAATATGTTTAGTAGTCCAGCCGAATCGAAGAAATTTTTCGTTGTGTTTGATCTTTGTATTGATAATTATTATCATGTATATTGCTAACGAGCTTAGAAAAATCTTACTTTGATTCAGGAATCAAACTTGGACAGGTTCAAGCTTCGCATTTAGCACCAGTACTTATATCTCTGTTACATATCACCATAGTACCATTACACGACTGAACTTAATACTATTCTGTATTAAGCTCAGTCAGTGTTTTAAGCATACAGTTCCAAAGTAATAGGTATGATATCAGTAACAGTGTTTTTTAGTTATTCTTTTATATATAAAAGAGATTATAAAAAATCAACAATTTAAAATTGTTTATAATATCTATCAGAATACTGTTAAATTGAACTTTTAAATATTCGTTCGCTCTCAGTCATGTCCTTATGAATAAAATTTCTAATTTTTGTGTACCTAGATTAATTGACAAGAAACCCACTTAACTTACTTACTAAGTAAGCAAACCAAAATAAAATACCAATTAATGTTAATAGTTTATTTCTAATTACATTCCTACTTATTGTAAAATTGTTATTGCCGTACCAGTTACGGAACCACATCCTAGTTACCAACTAGTATTAGCGATAAATAACCGTAAACAGTCAACCCTAAGACCTGGCCGAGTAATGGTCTTTGCGACCATTAAGCAACCCCACACATTGCGCGTTTTTAATGTAAACTCAACAACCAAAATTGTCATTTTTATTGTCAAACGGGCGTATGTTGCGTATACCACTTTTTTATCCCATAATTTTCTTTTTATTCCCTTTATTATATTTGTATTCCGCATACAACTGCGTGACATTTGCTAAATTGGCTTTGCCTTTTTCTATTAGGTACCCAACCAATTTCACCAATAGAATGTAAAAATTTTACTGTATTTTTATGCTTATAACAAAGATAATAAAGTTATATTTTTAGCAACCCAAGTAAAGGTGTATTTTGTTGTTTTATATGAGAAAATAAATCAAATAAAAAACAATTAAACACAACCTTGTTAACAGAAGTTTAGTTGTATTTTGTGCACTAAACGGTTTATCGTGTCTGAATTTAGATTTAACTTTCTTGGTGGCGTGTTTGGCGGTTAGGTTTTTTGCTAGGGCCGACGGACGGCAACGACTAGGTTTTAGGCCTATATCGAACTGCAAACTTTGCTGGAATCGCTATAAAAATTCTTAAACGGAAATGTTAGACAGAATGCTGGAGTTATTTGGTGTCATAATGATGAAAAGAAAGTTTTTAATACCCCAATACATTTTTTAGTGCAATACTGATTTTGGGTAAATTTCTTTTGCAGAATCGAAAAGAATGTCAACGAACTAATTATAATAAAAACGTTTATCATTTAAATACTTTTTGGTCTAGTGTGGTGTATTAACAATGTACGCGAACATCCGGACTATAGGGACGTTGTCCCTTGTGGTACGGTGGTGCGTATTCGTGGTTGTAGGAGTGGGGTGGCAGGTTCAATCCCAAGCTCTGCAACAGAACAATGAAGTGGACAGTTCTTATAATTTCTACTACGAACAGCCATGCTGTGCTGGTGGTGTCAGTAAGAGCAAATATCATAACAGGCACAGGCGAGGTAAGTTAGTGTTTTTATTACAAGCATTATGATTAACTTTTTAAATATTATCATGGTGATTTTTCTAGTAAATAAACACTTTCTTTACCACGTCAAGTTAATAGGAATTCAAACCACAAATTCGGAGCTGACTTTGACAAAAATGTTGAAAAGAAATTCTTAATTACGAGCAGTCATCTACATGACAAGGAATAAAAAGTTTGTATACAAAGATGACTTTCAAAATAAGACATGTTTTGCTATTATTGTACCTTGACATAAATAAAGCAAATAACAATTCATTCTGCTTTGAAATACGAAAGAATTTTTTTTATGTTATGTTGTCAAAGTTACGACAAATATGATTCACATCTACAGACAAAAAACATAAGAATCTCTCAAACTTCCGCAAAGACACCTTCACAAAATCATGATACACAGAAACGGACACTTAAACGCACACACGCAAACAAAAATGTAAATATACAACACGTTCAAAGCTTAGACGCCTCTCAAGAGTACATGGCGTAGAAAGAAACGGCGAGATGGAACTCAAATATGTAAGAGAGAGATATCGTAAACCTTTTGTTTCATTGCCCTCCGACAATGATGCCCAGATTGTTAAGTTGCTGTTAATTATTTGCTCGATGCACAATTTCAAAAATATCTAGCATTTTAATAAGGGGTGCCGCACCTGATGATTATTTTTTAATACGTATACCTAGTCATCGCATATCTGTTTTCGGTTAGTTTATTCGCTCTATTTTGCATTGTAACTACTGGTACATGATATTATTTTGCCACAAAGCAATTCACCCTCCTCATAAAAATAACGCACTTATATTAAGTAGTACGTACTCGCAAGTCAACCCTTAATGGTCCAAACTTCCAGTTTGGCCAACCCAAACCTTCTCGGTATTATACGATGTCCAATTAATTTCTCCAAATTATAGACCCAATTCAAATTATTATTACAAATTGGGCTTAAACAAGACTACAGTAAATACTGTTGAGATAGTGTAATAAACAAACAGTGATACATCGTACACACGCGGTCACTCATGTAGAGAAGCCCTAAAAGCTTATTCTATGCTTATATCAAATACACTGATATTTATAATATGTACTTCAGTTCAATTCAAAGAAAGGATATAAGTCTAAAGTAGATTTATTAGATTACCATGCAATTAGTATTTTTCTGCTTCCCCAGTTTTACAATCTAATATCCAAATACGTATGTTCCCGTCCATGACGGACCGTTCACAGCCATACATATTGTTCTACTAGTGGCGTCAAAATATTGATATTAATATAAGGGCAAATTGGCGCTTAGGCTGCCACTAGACGGACCGCATGCGCAAATTCACATATACATAAAGCGGCTGCGACACTGACATCAAGGCTTGCGCCTATTTCAGTGGCTCAGTATATGTTACTTGTAGTGTATTCAGAACATTTGTTATTCCAAACGCTGACTTTACTATTATTAAGGAAATAAACATATAACTTTTTCAATCCGTCCATCCGTAATCCTCTGCGGTGAAATTTGTGAACAAAAATGTAAATAAAGGTGCTATTATTACAAAAAAATATTTTAAGAATTGTGCACATGATATAAATCCGTCAACAAAGTTTCACTAATCGTATTTTTGTTTACCATTAAGTTGATTAAATCCTCAAGTAATCGTTACATTTTGCCGTTAATACTAAAGCTCAAGTCGTTTTAAAATCATATATTCTCTTAAGAATGCCAACTACAGCTTTCGATTCTCGGACTATCGTTCACATTGACTGCAACCGACGCTTGCAGTTGAACTGCACGCATTAACTGCAGACGTATAACTTTTGGCAGCCCAAAACATTGTATAACCATATTGAGCATTACGGCATTCACTGTAGGCATATTAAAAATAAAATAAATTGATATCCTGACTGTTCCTGAAATGGTGGTGTTAGTAGATTGTACCATGGTTTCTTTTTTAATTACTCATTATTGTGAAGTCAAATAAATACAAATCAGCCATTAAATGTTGTAACATAATTAGTGTTATTGTTTGCGAGATGAACCACCAAATGACAGTTAAACTATGTCAGAGGTGGTCATCCTAGCCACAATATTAATGTGCAATTTGCTACTTCCATTAAACAGTGCGGGCCTGAACAATTTGCTGAGGGCTTAATGAATGTGGAAACTTGAATCATTAAACATAGACGCACTTAATGAAAACCCACTAATGCAGCGCTTGACGTGAATTCGGAACCGCTGAACAATTATTACTGAAATACCATTTATCTTGCCAAATGTTGCGTAAATTTAAAAGAGGAAACAATAAAATTACTACCTGTTATTATAAAACATCTTACATTTACTCAGTTTTGCTTATTGCTTAATTGTAATTTAAGCATACCAATCGTGACACACAAATAATTTTGTCTTAATAAGGTAAGATATTATACTACTTGCCTCATGCTATATGATATTAATAATATGTTCGATCACTTGAATTATTTTCTATTTGATATCTTTTGATTGAAACTCTATTTAATAAAAAGCTTATCTCAACATTTCGAAATAATAATATTTGCACAAAGGATTTATAATTTTAGATTTATTGCAAACATAACAATGCCTACAATTTTGGGTGTAATTGAAAACGATTGGAACCGAGTTTAGGGGCGTTCGGTTCAACTGAGACGTCATCAAAAGTGTCAATCACTGATATTTTCGAATAGCAAAACCGATTATCGGGTATATTAAGTCAGTTATTATTATCGAAGCGTCCCGTCCATCCAACTGTGAAGTAGATTAGGGACATCATAATATGCCATATTTTGGCGTCAGCTGCACGCATCGCATACAGGATCTGGGTTGGGTTTTTGTACAAAATTCTTCTTAAAATTCGAAATTGCAAGCTGTTCTCTGTAGTGATTTTTTTAGAAACTCTTGTGAGGTAGATGGGTACTTGTATTTCAAATTCCATTTTGAAAAAAAACTTAATGTAAGCTATGTAAATAATTTTGAATTTGCATAGGTGAAAGGTAATTTCATTGCCACAGTAGATGCCTACTTGAACGTAAATAATACCCGACATTATGAGCGTGCTAATTACTAACGTCTTACGATGCCCTTAAACAGCTTCTAGTTTATGACAATTATGTGCCTGTTTCTCTTCTGTTATTAGGATATGCAGTATAAGAATTTTCCTAGTCAGTTGAATAGCGTTTAATAAAAGGGTCCCTCATATGTGAATGTTTATTTTTAACTGGGATGACCACTGGCTTTGCCGGCGAATGTTGGTTGGACAGTCACGACCTCATTTTGCTGCTATTAATTGTTGCCGTTGGAGTTTTGTAAACAAGTTTTCGAAGTTATTATTTTGTTGCCGTTCTGTTATACATTTTTAGTTTATATTTATGAGTTTGATGTTGTTACGCCCGTTCATGACGTTGTAAATGTACATTTACATCAATTAAAACGAAATTGCGATTTGTGCCAACAATGCACTATACATTTCAAACAGAAGAAGCTATTAAATGAAACGTAAAGTCAATGGATACTAGTGCAACAAGAAAGACGATATTGTAATAAATCCGAGCTCAAAGTGGATGCTAGCAATATATGAGCAATAAAAGCTTAAGTAACATGAAAGCAAAGGTTGAAAAAAGGTGGAACAGGGGCAAATATCCATGCTAGTGGCGGGCAAACAAAAAATGTGCAGGCCGAGTTGAAAGAAAGAGCGCACTCGGTCGGACAAAAGTGAAAAAGGAACACAATAAGTGCGGAGGCGGAATAGCGTCCGTCGAAACTTGAGTCTGGCTTTGACCGATGACCACGACTCATTTGAAATGCTCGACTGGGAAACTTCTTTTATTGTACAAATTGCTTTTCTTACTGTGATTTTACAAACATCACATTGTGTGTACAACTACTATAACCGTATAATATGCTAAACAAGGAGTCATTTATCAGTGTCTGATTTCCCAGCCGCGTTTGAAATAGTTTGCCTCTGAATCTACAAAAACACTGATTTACATGTATACGAGTATGTGGCTAACCCCTTACTAAGGATAAATACGACGACACTCGCTCAAGTCCCTCAGGGAGATGACATTACTTATTTCAGACGAAGGTGTCCCACAAACCATTTTGTTCAAAATTTGGTAACGAGTCACGTAGAAGTGAGGAAGGGTATCCCATATCGTGTCTTCAACCATCGCGAATGTCTATTGTATTCTCGCGAGACAAAGGCTTTGGACTCGAAGGATGCTACCTTCGTCAAACCGCTTTTTGTAAACGCACAGGTATTTCGAACAGATCGTTGTTTTATCTGGTATTGTCTTTCGGTCGAATGGCTTTTATTGATCGTGACGCCGATATTGATTCGTATTCTGATATATTCGACAAGATAGCATCAAAGTTCCATCAAGTTGAGTGGCTGTAAAGAATATCATGTGTCCGCATAATCTAGTTATCGATTTGATACGCTTTTGATGGGCAATATGAATGGCGATGACCAAGTAATATGTAAATAAGTCATCATCGAGATCTCTGATTGGCGGAAACAAGCAATCATCATGAGCTCTGATTGGCGGTTTGCATCCAATCATCGGATACATTTATCACTACATGGTATTTACTCGTATCCTATTCTTGCTAGTACGTCCATATCTACACTAGTACGTCCATATCTACACTAATATCATAAATGTGAAAGTAACTCTGTATGTTACGTTTTCACGCCTAAACCGCTTTGAAACTAAAAGCAATTTAAATATAAAGGAAAATATATTCACATTTTGCAGCTAATAGAATGTCATCGACAGACTCTGCGCTTAATTTCACTTGAAATTAGTAACGTACCTATGTCTTTGTAGTGATGATTCATATGAAAATATTCTACATAAAATGTCAAAATATAAAGTGATTCATTAAATGATATGTTTAAAGTCCATGTTTTTCGGTGTTACAATGTGCATACGACCCGTTTTTGATAATGTGCTGATGTTACCGCACAGATAAC